TTCCGAGACTATATTTTATATCTTAGTATATAAGATTTTACTATATTAAGATATTATCTTCGAGATAGAAAGTTACTAGAGCGATACGTTCGCGGCTCGTTAAAGGATATTTATTAATAACTTTCTTTATATCTAATTATCTTTTAATATAAATTAGTTAAACTTATATCGCGTTATTATTCCGATAATTTTTATATCTTAGGAGCTTTTCGAGCTCTATTCCGCTAATATCTTAAAATAAATCTAACGATAGATACTACTATCTAGATAAGAATCTAGATACGTTCGTCTAGTCTATAGATAAGAGGGTAATTCTCGATAGGCCGTCTATAGATATCGAAGCGAAGATTTCGGGAGTTCTATAGTATCGTAGATAGTCGGTAAGGGCCGCTATAGTTCTTTTTAGATTTCTAAAATAATTCTCTTCTAGAAGTCTATATATTTCTTATAAATTAGCTTCTTCTATAAAGATATCGATTTCTAATACTACTATTATTAGAATTAAGAGAGTATTTATATAGTATTTAGTATAAAAGAGCTTTCGAATATAGTTTACGAAATACGAGTAAAAAATAAGTAGAAGATAATATACGATAGAAGAAAGATAAATAATCTCGAGAAGAATATATTCTTTATAGAAGCTTTTATCTCGGCTAGCGAGAGCGCTTTATAACTAGCTCTCGATATTCGAAGCCGTCCCTAGCTAAATAGTACTCTATCCCTTAAGAGACCTTACTATATATCTTTCTTTAATCGATCTATTATTTTCTATCGTCTACGATAGTACGAGTAGATCTAGATAAATCTAGATAACTATTTAGTCTCTACTAGTATAGTTTAGATAGAATTCTAATAAAGAGTTTATTCTAACAATAATATTTCTTTCTCTATCGACGTATTAAGCTCTTTAGCGATATTATCGTTTATAGTATCTAGATTAATTGAATATAATCGAGAACGTCGAGGTAGCCGTCGCTATTATATCTTATATACGTTACTAGCTATTATTCGTAGCTAAAGGTATCTAAGAGTAGCGAGACTAAAATTTTTAAAGAAGAAGAAGTTACTATTTACTACTATAATTTACCTTTCTCGATAAGAAATTTTTATTACCTTTCGTCGTTCGAAGAATATAACTCTCGAAAGTCTTCGCTACGAAATTAGAAGAAGTTCGTCGAGCGTAAAAGATAGACTTTCGAGCTAGAAATTTTCCTTATCGATTAGTTTCGCTAGATATTGAGGCGGTTTCGTTTACCTTTAATCGGCTTCGTATAGAAGAGTATCGGTCTTCTCGGCGATCGACTACGCTCCTCTTCTTCTCGAGAGAGCGTAGAAGTTCTTACGGACTCTAGTTTAAGGTAGAGAACTATCTCGTCGCCGCTACTAAATATAATTTTACGGAGGACTTGTTCTATTTTAACGGGGCCTAGGGCCTCGTTAGACTATATACAGTTAGGTGACTAAAGTTCACGCGTCAAAGGTTAAAATTTAGACTCTAAATAACTTCTTTAATAGTTCGAATTAGAATCTAAAATTTAGTCTACCTATAGAAAATATATATAGCTATTAGTAGTTCTAAATTATATAGTCTAACTAGCTAAATTAAGTAAGTTATTAAAGTTTAAAAATTAGGAATTTTAAAACTATATTCTAGTACTAAATAACTACTAATTAACTTAGAATATTAGATAATTCTTATATCTACTATATAATAATACTAATTCTCTTATTATATAGATAATATCTAAAGTAGTTATAGTATAAATATTCTAAGATAATTTAATTTTTAAAAATTATCTAAAATCCGGACTTTTTCTTAATTTATACCTTACTAGCTTATTATAATTAGTTATAATACTTAGTACTAGTAGATTACTAGAAGCTCTCTAGTATATTAAAATTTCAGCCTTATAGCTAGTAGCGTTAGTAAGTAATTAGTAAATTAAGATTTCGAAGACCCGCTAATGCGTGGACTTCGGGCATAGTACTGTACTTTCTAGGGGTTGTACGATAGCGTACGACGCTAGTCGAGACCGAAAGACGGTCCTCGACGTCTTTACAATGCTTGGCACGTAGGGTGCCGATTTTGTCACATCATCAAGAAATGCGGGGAGCAGGCGCTTACCTACCATACTGCCCCCAGGTAGTAGGTACAGTAGCAGCTTTGCAGGCTGCGCAGCCCGTTAATAAGCCAGGCTCGAGGTGACCGGCATTAATTATAATCCCCATGCATACGCCCGAGTTCGTCCGTGCCAGGATAAATTTGGCACCACAGCCTGAGAATCACTGTCGGTAGAGCAATGAAGACAAACACGCCCTACAAACGACGCCTGGGATTTCGAGATGATTCCATCAGATTGGTGTCCTGGATGCGGACCTCTGCTGTGACTCGATCAACTGCAGCAGGCGCCTTACAGTTGACCGCTGCCTGTGATCACGTTGTTCCCTAACTCGGGTACTGATCGCAAGGCCGATGCCCTCGGCCTTTGTTCTATCCTGATGAATATTGTAGCCCAACAGGGCGATACCGTGGCCTACTGCCTAGCCACCCATCGTCGAATGTGCTTCCGCATGTGGTTCACAGTGTTATTCTCTCGCTCTAGTAACGGCCGTGAGACTGCTCCACTTCGTATGCTCTGCCCAGGTAAATCTCTGAGCTGACCTCGACGACCTGCGGCTTCTGGACAGCCCCCTGTCAGGCATGGGGTTCCGCGCACATGATGGACAAAAACACCTTGTGCAAGGCCGGCAAGGTACCCGTACATCTCGGCCCCAAACCAAAAGAAACATCATACATGCTGCCGTAAATGCATTGAAGTGAAGATTGCAATATCAACCGTAACGGGCGTCAACAATGCCGCCTGACAAAAGGAATTCGTGCGTATCTGTAATCAGCCCACCGGCGCGTTAGACGTGGTGGTGGACATGGAGCATATTACCAGTGTGCATCAATGGTAGCCACCGAAATCCAAAGCCTCCCCTCAAATTGAGATACATGGAACTGATGGAACTGATGTAAAGGTATGTGGCTATAGCCGTACGTCTCTTGGTTCGCCAGGTATGGCATCTTCACCCATTGATCTGGCTTTTCCCGCATAGACATCCCCCGACCTCTGTGCTTTAGTGGCATCCTCCTTCAAGGTCGGTGAAGGCACATCCATAACCCCTTGTGACCACGTTCCAGAAAGTCTTCTGTATGATCTCATGTTGACCTTGGGATATGTCTCCGTTCGGGAGGGCACGTTCCATGCTATGCTCTCGTCGGAGTTGACAGATTCTGGCATCGAGACACTCCTTCGGTGGAAAGTGTCACGGATGAAGGTGTCGAAGCTTGGCAAGGTGCACGGTTGGGTACCTGGCACGGGCTGAGCAGGCTCCAGAGGCAGATGAGGACCTTGACAGCTTGTTCCAGTTCCTCGTCCGTTTTCGGGTGGTCTGTTTCTCGGAGACGAGGCGGAGCCTGCCTCAGAGGCATCATCTTCTGAATCGTCGGCGTGATGACCCTTCCGACCCACCACCATGTGGTGGTAATGAAGCCGACATGCTAGCTCGGACTTGTCGAGGTGATGGGCAATGTGCTTGTAGGGGAGCTTCTGGTTCCGACTCCGAAAAAGGTAAGATTCCTGTAAACTTGGTCAGCAGCCGCACGAAGAGATGTGCGAGTGACAATAGACCTCTTCGTCCGTCCAGCACCGTATCAGCTTTCCTTGTCGGAACTTGTCCCTTCTTGACGAGTTCAAGCTCTTTTGGACCCGTTGACACTGCGATGAAGACCGCGAGGGAGGCAGACGAGGAGGTGATAGCATGATCGGCGATGTTAATGCGAGTGAAAACATATGTCAATAAGGAAGGAGATGATCGTGCAGAGTGAATCTGGCTCAGGACAGGATGACGACCTTAAATCTGAAGTTGCAATGGTTCCGAACCGCGAGAGCTTGCGACAACATATGAGCGTACTCTCAGAATGTCGTTTCGTCTCCTGTGCCTGAAATATCATAAAACCATAAAGTGCTACCATAGCAGGTGCTATTGTAGCCCCGGACTGCTATGCCTTGTCGAACCGCGAAGGCAGTTTTAATTCTGGCTCTGCTAGAGCTCGACCTGCTGCAGGCCTTGCCGTGCCCAAACTATCGGCATGGCCCGTGGCTTTCTGGACGACCTAGGATGTCCCGGGCCCCGCAAGAGGATGAATAGCCGCTGATACGGCTGCGTGTGGCTTGCATTAGAGGTTAAGGGTGTCTACATCGCAGTGCGGCATGTCGGATATTGGCCATGCGAAGACAAGGAAGAGAGTCAGCGCTCAAGGCTTACTCCGTGGCCGACTGCTCGAGCCGACTGCAACCACCCGAAGACACCATCCCGGATCGGCACCCAACATTGTACTCGTCGTGGATGTTGGGGTTCTATCCAGCAAGGATTAATCTTTAAATACCTGTGCGAACTGAATTGCCAGTTTCGTTCCCATTGACCTGCAGGATATCTGGTCAACGTCCCCACTGGGACCTCGCTTTGAAGACGAGGGCATTGTAGACTCGAAGCCATCGGCAATCCCCACCAGCGTATCGACAGCTGGCAATAAATATCCTCCAAGGTGAAAGGTTAGGCCATAGATCCGTCTTGGAACTAGCTGCGGCGTGCTTTAGGGCTTGTATGGCCGAGATATGACTGGACAGGAGGTGGTTCGACAAGCGCCGAAGGCTGTGGGCGGCTAAATTCACCTGGAAAAGCCACAGAACGACGACCGAAAAACATGGGGTGCACATCCCGGCAGAAATAGAGTCTGGGACTTCGGAAACGAGTAATGGTGCCGCCAGTCGATCAGAATAGTCGACTCGTGCTGGTCAACAGTGGAGGTCAGTCCAGGGCTGGCCCTAATAGCTGGCCATCCACGAGCATCATCACAGTATGTCGACGCAACAGTTTGGTCACCTTACTCTTACCGGCAATAGGACGCAGAGGTGCGCTCGATGCTAAAAGGCTTCTTATGCAGTGCCATCAGTCATCAGTTCCTACCAGTTTAGCGCCCAAAGGTTGTGATTGAGGAGATCGTCATCCGATTCGAGCGTTCTCCTTTGTTTCTCGTAGAAAGTGGAAGAATCGATCGCGAGAGTGGCCGCCATCTCCTGACTTCATGCTGCGATGGAACATACTGTTGTGGCAAGGCCTTCAAGGGCTATAGATGGACAAAAGGCATGGTTTGTGGCGGGTGAAGACGTGTTGAGACGGGATCGTGTTCTGTTAGCAACGTCCCTAGAGTCTCTAGATGATGGCCACCTAGTACGGGGTCAAGCGAACCGAGGAGTGCCCATTGCGGCAGAGAGAATCCCAGTCGAGGCAGCGTCTCGTCTGGTGCTGCGACCAGTTCCACTTTTCGGGTCAAGTTCAGTTGAACGAGTCGAGTTCGAAGTCAAGTTCAATTTGGTGGCTGCTTGAGCCAAGACTGAGACGGGCTGGGAAAGCAATTCGCGAAACGGACTGCGGCGAGTGACTGCGACAAGTCGCGCTTCATCATCAGATGCTTCGCAGTTCAGGCAGCACGATTCAAGGGCTGCCTATATTTCGCACCACGACATCCTTATTTCGCACCACCACTAAACTACTTCAAGTAATTTTTTTGCGCAACGCTAGCCGCTTTTGCTTTGTCCTTATAGCGCCGTATATCACGTAATTTCAATATATACTCTGTAATTATTCATACGCCTATTATCGTACGCCTACAGCGCCTATAACACCTATAACGCCTACCACTGTACGCCTATCGCTTAATAGGTGGTAGTAGGCGCACAGTGATAGGTGTGCAGTTACAGGCGGTGTAGGCTTTTAGGGGTTGTAGGCGTTGCGGGCGTTGCGGGCGTTGCAGGCGCTGTAGGCGTGCGATAATAGGGGTGAGTGGTTATGGGCATTATACAACGACGCCGGGGGTATCTTTCGTTAGTGCGCTCTCGCTAGACTTTCCCGAATTGGCCGCCAGCTTAGTCAGGCTCAGTAAAATGACAGTACAGTACCTGTTGCGACAACAACTGCCACACTAAAGCGCAAGAAATGTGTAATACGCTAGTACCAACTGGGAAAGATGAGAAATGATTACGCGCTACTCTACTTATGTACTAGTGTGACACTAACGAAAGATTGCCCAGAGGTGTTGTAG